GTGTGTGTGTGTTCGTGTGTGTGTGTATGTGAATGTGCGTGCCTGCTGTATGTATTTACCATTCCGCGGCAAATTTCTGTGTGGAGACTAATAAAACGTTATCTTATCTTATCTGTCGGCGAAGAATCAATGGGTATACACCCAGTAGACACTGACATGTAAAGGGGAAATTTAAAAAGACAACATGAAAAGTAATAATTTGTTAGATCAACTAGATCTACCGTCATAGATTAAGAGGGTGTCCGTTTTCTCTCCTTTCAGTATTTTAGTCAAATTGGTCGAAAGAGTCTGTCATCTGACTGCTTCAAAGATGGCAAGATAAATGACTGGTCGTTTATTTCTCAATAAGGGTTCACCTGTACGATCAACAGAATAATTCACACACTCATAGGCTTAATGTCCATCACTCAGTTGTCGTATTGATCAATGTGCATGCTCTTCCCTAGTAAAATACAAATCGCTAACTCAGAATTACAAAGTTCTATATGCTCAGTATATAGTTTTGAGAAACTTGACGTAAGAAAATTTGAGTTTCACAACATGTCAAGCTTTTCCGAATGTAATTCTTTGAACACCTGGATAAGGACTTCGAATAAATTTACGATTTTGAAAGAGCAGATAGAACACTTGGTTTCTGACCTCATGGTCGTAGTTACTCAAAACGGCCAAAAATGTCTGATAGAACTTTGTAATTATGAGGTAGCGTAATAGAAACAGACTCACTTACTCCTAACATTGTCTTGATGTCATAAATCAGAACTGGCATACAACTGTTTCCTTCTAAGATAAATGTACCGTACAGACCTTGACTCATTATATAGTCAAAGCACCTAATGCAGCAAAAATATCTTATAGTTGTGTGACTAACACTCGTATAAATCAGTGTAATCGTACGTTTTCTGAGCTGACTCTCTGAGACCAAGCCCCTTCTCTCTCACATCTGTTTCCTCGTCGAAATAAAAATGAATTTAAATGCCTTTTTCTCATTATAACATAATATGTGAGACAGTGTGGTGGAATCAGGCTCTCGTCAATTTTTGGGCAGGTAGAGTTTTTGGTATCATCTTAAAGCTTGTTCAATTGTCTTTACTTTGGTGAAAAAAAAGATCCATTTATCTTAAATACAAGTCGAGATATTTGCGAAAGAAGGAGGTGGAGGTCACCTGTTTTCAGAGGTAAAATTAGTGAGAAAATGGCCGCCAAAGATTATTTATTTCCTTAGCTTAAGAATCCGTGGTAACTTAGCATTTACATTTTTTGTTCCATTTATCAACGTTTTTCAGAAAATTTTCCACAGAGATCAGTGTTTTAATAGGAATGAAAGGTGTTGAGCCAAAAAACAAAAATTTGATAAAAATCCACAAACCTGCGGAAAAATACAAGTTTATTCACTTTGATTATTTTGACGAGAGCCTGATTCCACCACGCTGCCTCACTTATATACAATTGAATAGCCCAAAACTTATCAAGCTTTTTCTTTCAACGAATAGTTCTATAATTCAGTATGCACGTGTTTTTCCGGAACCGATTCCGTGAGTTCTTCCAGCCAGAATCTCCTCTTGTCCATCTCCAGCCCCTGTCTGACTTCAGCACGAGGTTTGAAGTCCAGGTACTTCATGTCCTCCGTATTGTACTGTGGCCAGTCGGCGCTCCTGTAGAATGGAGAACAATACACTGTGTTGAGATAAATAAATACAAATAAAATAATAATTTACTCGTGTGAACAAACCGTACCTCCACGCTCTGCATCTGCCAAGTGTCTCAGCTGTGTAAATTAACGTAAATTTGCACCGCTATACCGCCAGCAAACTGACTCGTTTTTATTTGTTTGAGTAAAGAGACGCACATCGACGCACTAACGGTCATTTGACGCTGGTTAATAGTAAGAAAGTTAGAAACAAACAACAGGGTGGAAGTAAAGAAGTAGAACCTACCAGTGACGCCCTCCAACCACACGCACGCTTTGACTGCTCGAGGTACAAATGTCAAAAGGCGGCTGCTTAAACACAGTAATCCATTTCCTACACACACCTCTGCGAGCTTGGCAGTTCTAATACGGGATGCCCACTACGGGTGGGATTGGCTGATAGCTTTTTTAGAACTTTTTTAAAACGTTGCGTTTCTAAATGCATTCAGTATATACATTATAAACACACACACACACACACACACACACACACACACACACACACACACACACACACACACACACACACACACACACAAACCCACCTTAACTTACCTTACCTTACCTTACCAAATCTTACCTTATCTTAACTTACCGTGTCTTACCTTACTTTATCATACCCTATCTTATCTTATAATATCAGGACATAAATCCATTATATCTTATTTTAGTTTAACCTGAATTTACTCAAATTAAGGTATCATGTCTGGTTAAAAGCTTAGATTTACATCGCGTTGAACAACAGAAGTAGCAAAACGAGAAATTATCAGGGCTTACCCAGTTTTTGTGAAGTCTGCGATGAGTTTGGAAAGT